AATCTCCACGATCTCCCGTGAAATAAAAGCTATCTCCCTCATGAGTACACACTGTCACTCTCCCCTTGTAACAATCTATACTCACCTAAAAAGTAAACAGCCAATCCATCTCGAAAATAATATCAAAACCAGACATGTCAAGCAAAATGAAATCAAAATAAAGGATGCGATCAGCTATCTCTATTGGATAATCTCTACCGATCCTTGTTAATATCACACTACCCCTAACTGGGGTGTTAACATGCAATGGTGGATCTAACCGATCTATGTCCAACCCCAATGTTATTGCAAGCATGGTAGATATGAATGAATGAGATGTACCCGAGTCTATCAGCACGCTAGCTCATGAACTAAACACAAGGCATGGCCTGAGTAGTCTGGCCATGCCTACATTTTCATGTAACGAGTAATTTCCTTACTCCATATTTCTTTCCCTTCAAAAGCTTACCATGTCATTCTCAATTAATCTTGAAGCAAAGTCATCTAATATAATTTATCAATTATTACACCACGATCTTCCAATCATATTCTTTCTGAATAATTCTTAAAACCTAATTGTTCAAGAATTAAGTCATCACATAGCATTTAATTTTTTTTTCCAAAGCAACATTAGCCAACTATTCATATTAATTCCAGACCATTGTCAATAACCTCAAATAAATGGTCCTATAACAACCTCCAATCCACTCAGAAGCAAAATCACAATTTTTACTCTTATTCCAAAAATCGACACAAATACTTATTCATTTCACCATGCCCCTCTAATTGATTTTATTTGAACATTGTACTATTTTATAGTCTTTTAGTCACCCTAATGGAAGACATATCCAACTCAAAGTTTTAACCATAGAATCCAAATTGTCAATCTTTCTGCAATTCTTAATATCTTTATCAATTCCAATAACTTCACCTAACCAAAATTATATAAAGGACATCACAGTTGACCTTACCTCACAACAATAAAATTGAATTACCACACATCTTTGAGAACACAAATTAAAGAAACTAAGGGCCAGACAAAATAATGAAAATTGACATAATCTAAAAGAGTTATAACATCATAAATCATCATACCTCAAAGCCTTTTTCCTTTCATACATTCTCAGCTAAAATACACTAATACTCTCTATGGCATCCAAAACTTATGATGTAAAAATAATTCTTTTGTCACCACGCATGTCTCCGAACTATCTCCAATATTAGTGTACCCATTTTCCTACAACTCTCATATAAGATCTAATCCCTAGGCTTTGATATCAAGTTGTCACGCCCCGAATTTTCATAAACCCGAGGAGTGAGTGTAAAAGACGAAGAAAAGTAAATGAAAGGTCATTAGGTTGGATAAATTGATTTCTCATTCATTTATCATGTTTTTCCAAAGTTTTTCAAGCAACTTTTCTTTCATTTTTAGCCTATTTCTTCAAGGTTTCTAAACCCCTCCCTTTGACATCCTTCCTACCTATTAAAAAGGTGTTTTACACACTTAATAATTCTTTTAATTTTTTTTCATAAAATTTTGACATAACATCCTTTGTTTCCAAGCCTTTTTCTCACCTAATATTCACAATATTTCATATGCATTATTATATCGCAACCCACCCTCACTTGGTAGCCACAATCCATGTAAATTAAATATACATCCCTTGTTCTCAACATACACATCTAATTGTCCCAATATACACATATAATATTCATTACATAAGAGATATCTTACATATCAATTGAGTTTACACTCTTACACTTTAGAATGATTCAAGGTCTAAATCCATTACCTTTTCAAATTAAAATACAAGTTATTTGGGCTTATGACCATACATACAAAACATGCCCAAAGGCCAAATATTCATTCAAGTCCCTTTTCCCTCATTTCTTTAAGACTTTCTCAAGCCTCAAGTATCGGGACCCTCATTTGTAATATGATATCCCACGAATGGGTCAGCTTAACTGCTAGTATGATAAAAGGATAACGCTAGGAACAAATTTAAGGCATGACATGTGCAAGTGTACATTTTTAAAAGGTACAACCCCATAATCTCTCAATGCTATGCAATGCCAATATGCATGACACACCTATACAACTATATGCTACCCATGTCTCGCTTCACGATCTGCCCCTGTCAGCTCGCGAGTACTGTCATTGGCCAGATTTTGGGTTTTTCACCACAGGATCTACACCCTCATAATGCATAGCACCAAGTGCTCAACCCACACTATGTTCCAAGGATTCATGTATGCCAAGATGCCATAATTTTTTTCAATGTAAATTCTATAAAATATTTCATTAAATATCTTATCTACATGAATGTGAGGCACCATTCAATGGATTAAATATATGATAAATCTTCATATTCCTATGAAATATTTCATCAAACACCTTATCTACATAAATGTGAAGCACTATTTAATGGATTTAAACATATGATCAAACTTCATATTCATTACTTTCACAATTTCTCAAAGAAACTACAAATACACAACTACTAACTCATATAACTCTCAAACCACAACTTTTCTACATGAACATAAGCTAGAATATAATAATCTAACACATAAACAATATACACATTTATCATAGCAACAAATTGTCAACAAACTTAAAAAAATATAAAAGTACTTAAACTATAATTTCTAAGTTTTCAAAGTAACTATCAACTAAATAATTTTCTAATATCAAGTAGGCACCTAAATCATCCAATCAACACATAGGAAGACAAGAAAACTTAAAGGCCACCTCATTAACCTTCCCAAGGATCTCAAATGGTCTTATAAACCGCGGTGACAGTTTTTCGCTACGCTTGAATCCCTTCAATCCCCGTCGTGGGGCTACCTTGAGGAACACATGTCCCCCAACATCAAATGACAGAGGTCACCACCTTCTGTCTGCATAACTCTTATGGTAGCTCTGTGGCGTCAACAGACGCTTCTAATCACTTGTATCTTGTCCGTGGTCTCACGGACTATGTTAGGCCCTAAGGCAACCGTCTCCCCTGCATCATAAAAAGGAGATGGATTCATTAATGGAAAAATCATTAATTTGTAAGAGTTATTTACTATGGAGTTGTGAAGCTTTTTATGATGCAGAAAAAGGAGCATAAAATGGGATCGTTCTCAATTAATCCCATAACTGAGTCACCACAGCTACTTTATTGCATTTGTAAATATGCTGGTGAAGACATTTTCAATTTTGCTTCTAGTTAGAATAATCATTATTGTAGGGTTTCACTTTGGTGCCTCTATTGTCATGCTATGAAAGATCAATTAATTAACATGTGCCTATCTTTCTACTAAGAATTGCACGAGCTAATAGAGATTCGCCTAGATTTCGCCTTATTCTTGAGATGAATGATTGTTATTTTGACTAGCGTTATAATCAGTGGATGGAGAACATAGCTCCAAATGAATTTTGCAACAACATATTAATCAAGCTTGGTAGAATTTTGGTAAAGACCTAAGTCAATGCTTATTATTCACCTTTTAATGAATCTCTAAAGCTTAAAACTGTTAATAATCAACTTCTTAAAAAAGGTAAAGAAGGGACATCTAAGTCCAATAATGATGATGACGGTTATACCGTTGTGAGATCTAAAAAATCTATTAAAGAAGCTTTAGTAGCCAAACCACAATTAAATTATATAGAGTTACATACTCTACTTGTTTATAGCAATATAATGACTCTTGATAATGAATATATTAATTGGATGACAGATCCATATTATATTGTTAATCGATTTAAGACTATGGATAAAACCTTCTTATTTTCTGAAAATAAAGAAGAGAATATTACGAATATATTTTTATTGAAACTGATTCTGTCAAATTCCAGAGATTTTTTAATAATAGATATAATACTACTGATCCACAATATAGCAAAACACTCATATTAAGAGTGATATCTGCTAAAGACTGAGGTCTTAATTTAATTATCTCTAGAATATTAAGAAACTCTCCATATACGGAGCATAATTATTTTGATTATATTGATGCTTTGAATATTGCTTTCTTGTATAATTGCATCAATTTAAGGCATTTCTGGTTCTTCCAATTTATTGAAACCTGTACGAAAATTCTAAACTGATTTTGTGATTGGTGGGAACAACATGGTGTTATTGAAGAGATATATCCTGAACCAATGAAAAAATTATTTGACTTTAATAAAACAAAAGTCCATTCTTAAGGGATAATGATATTGAGACCAAACATATTATTAATTTCTCACTTGAATTCTTTGTTCCTTGAATTTGAGTGTGGACTTTGACTTGTGATTTTAATCAAAACGGACATCCTAGATTAATTAGGGAATATCATATTCGTTTTTAAAATAATTATCCGATTGAATGTAAATGCCAACTTATAGCGGAATGTTTTAAAGACATGGGAAAAGAGTCAGAAATTCTTAAAGAAAAAATTAGTAAAAAAAAATCCCATTTAAATTCTGAGCTGCTTAAAGCAGCAGTAATGGACGAGATGCGTCTCCAAGTTATGTCCACATTTGGCATGGACAAAAATGAAAAGATGGATATCGTTAATAATCCCACAGTTCCTATAATAGACAAAAATAAAGGTAAAGTCGAGGAGGATTATAAGAGAAAATCTAGCACTTCTACTGACTCTGATGATGGCTTTATGAATTCTCAGGGATATACCATATTAAAGGTGATACTTCTATTAATGAAGATTTACTTAATGATGACATGAAGATAAACTTCAAAAACAACAGTAATGAGCTGTACAATTTGATTTATAGAAAATAATCAAATAAAACCAAACTCTCGGATAAAGCCTAATCTTAGAGAGTGATGCAAGCCATGACATCACAAGAATATTATGTACTGTAATGATGACGTCAATGTAAATTATTTAAATTATAAATAATAAAAAATTATAAATAATTTAAAAGATGTTGAAATTCGAATTTCATGTTTGCCTCCTCTCATATAATAATATATAGAGGTGCAAGTCCAGTGTATTAGACACCGTCGATTCTTAGACCCTCAATCCTCTAGACTTCTCCTTCTCCTACCGTTTACTACACCATCTACCTGCTTTGTCGTGCACCCTCTTTGAACTCATTTTTTCTTGTAATAATGGCCTCCATCCTTCGCCTTCTTCAAACCATCCACATCTGTAAGTATTATACAACTTCAAGTCCTGTACTACTTTATTTTATAAATAAAAACTTTCTTCTTTGCTCGGATATTTGCACAATCCTATCAATATTGACCATCTGTAAGTCGGGTATAACTTTAAGTCTTGTCCTACTGTGCGAAATAAATAAAAGCTTTCTTCTTTGCTATGATCGTGCAAATAAGTTCCACAAGCCAATTATCTTTTTCTTTTGTGCTTGTTGACACCATTTCCGCGCGTTCATTAACCACTAATCATCCCGTCCAAGGCCAGTTGCAGAGAGACAGAAATAGAGCATGGCGAAGTCACTGGGACCAACAGGGGAGTTCTTCTGGAGGATGGACGAGTGGAGGAAGCACGCGATGCTGACCAACCAGCTCCGCCATGCCACTCCTGGCCTCGGCATAGCCGTCGTCGCCTTCGGAGTCACTGGGACCAACAGGGGAGTTCTTCAGGAGAAGGGACGAGTGGAGGAAGTACCCGATGCTGACCAACTAGCTCCGCCAGGCCACTCCTGGCCTCGGCATAGCCGTCGTCGCCTTCGACATCTACCTCGTCGGCGAAGCCTTCTACAACAAGATCTACGCTCTCGCTCACTCTCACTCTTCGTCTTCTTCCGCTTCTCACACTCACTGAGAAGCAACACCCATCAACATCTCTCAGGTCAGATTGATGTTATTGTATATAATTTACTCTTCTTGATTCACCATGTCTCGGAAACTTGTCGTTTACCCATTTATCTCTAATTATGGATTTTCATTTATTGATTTGAATTGCTTTTGTGATCATACATGTATCTTTGTTTATTTCATTTGTCAATCATGCATTGCTCACGGTGGCTATGTGTTGCATTTGTTAGAAATTAGGGCTTTCCTGTGCAAAATTAGTTGATTTGTGCATTAGAAAGATTCGTACTAATAAATTTATTTTTTGGCCGAATACTAATAAAAAAAATTAAATAATCATTTTAGAATATCATTTGTTAAATTCATTGCCGATGCTGTATATGTAGCTACAATGTTAACGCCAGTTCTGATGGGTGTTGGTTTTGCGAAGCGGGTAATTAACACAAATAATACTTGTTAAAAAGATAGTAACTCAAAGATAGGAAAACAATAAAAATATAACACAAAAATATAACGTTGTTCGATACAACATACCCACCTTGGTACACCTACATCTACAGACCAAAACTACCTTGGTACAACTTGAGCTTTATGTTTTATATCACATATTTAATATACCTATTCATGATATATTAAAAGTCTTTCAATATAATTCTATTTCATATAGAATTCTCACATTGATTACCCAACAAAACTCTCCTTCATAATAATTAAAGAGTTTGAGTCAAATTCCAACAATGGGGCTCCAAAAGGTTGAGTTACGTTTCTTTTTTAAGGGTAACAAAACATATTCTTTAATTGAGATATATTCTAAAAGATATATATATGTTTTGTTAAATGAGTGCTCCCGTGAAAGTGTGAATTTAAGTTAGTGGGTTGTTAAAAGGGGAGAGATCGGGAGACAAGCTCATGCTCTCTGTTAATATACTATGGTAGATAATTTTATTTTTTCCGATGAGATATCATGGTAGATAATAGACTATTGGATATGCTGATATTTGGCTCATGTGCCTATCTATATAGTTAAAGTTCTAATTTGGATTGTATGCCACCACCTTTACTTTAGGAATGAAATGGAGTGGGATTGGAATAATTCATACTTGATGCAGCAAAGGAAAACATGTGAGTGCAAAATTGGAAGATCAAGTTTGAAGGAGGAGAATGAAAAGTTGGTTTCTTGAAGTTTGATCGTTAGTAACCATTAGTCTTAGATTAGTACATCTTGTGAGTTTTTTGTGAATAACTTTAATAGAATTAATTTTGTTTTCTTAGCTCAAAGGTATCCTCCATGAATAGGTGGCTATTAATGCGGTATCTGTGTGTGGCTCAAACACTCCTTGCCATGCATTGCTAGGCAAAAAAATTCATAGAATCCTTGTCATTGAGCTATTTTTAAGCAACTTGTGACTTAACAGCTTGTTGCTTCCCTATTCCCTAATATAGTGCGATTATGACGAGTGTGGGAAACAGTCTCCTCATAAAACATGATATCAAATCTAATGTTGTGTAGTCGAAGGTACATTCATCTATAGCTAATGCTACCCTCCTTTATCTTTACTTGGGTGTCTCTGCAAAAGAGAAGTGCTCAACATAAACCCAAATAATTGGTTCCAAACATTGTTTTGTTGAGTTGAGGATGATTTTAAAAGAAGCTTCATTTTGAGTTGATTTAAAAGAAGCTTCACAACCCGAAATCCTTCATTTTGAGTTGATTATGGTTGGAACTTGTCTTGGTCAAGCATTTTACATAACAAGTGCGTTTGATGGAAGTATAAGTTGAAGGTGAAGCTTCTTATCTTGCATGGTTTTAGATTTCTCTAAAAGAAGCTTATTTTCATATGGCTGTGTTCATTTATCTCTTCATATCATTTCAAAGTTAACAAGGTCGACATTAACATCAGTGAAGATTTTGTATTTTTTGTTAACAAGGTGTATAATTTTGAGTTATGTCTGTTAACTACTCTATACTAGGAATCTGCGAAGGGTTCATGTTACATATTGTACAAAATTATTTGCTTGACTTAAAATTGTTCGGCTCTTATCAGCACAGGTAATATAAAGTTGTTTTTGCCATTCAATATGTTGGAATAATACACTATAGTACATGCATAGCACAATGGGACCTTTTAATAAAGTAGAAGATAAACTGATGCATACAAATTAAAGATGGCGAATTGCATACGAGTTTGCGCAGTGGAGCCACAATCTGGGAAGAGATTCGTTGATCCAAGATTGCCCAGATAACCCCTTGTAGGTTGGGAGCGGATACTCACTAGTCTTCCCCCCCTCCCTCCTCCCCTCCTCTTTTTTCTTGATCCACATAATTACAGTTGTTTTCCACAAGCTGATTTCCTATGCAATTCCCAAATATGCAGGTGAATGCTTGACGCAAGGAACAAAGCTTGACCGTGTATACCAGTCTGTCCTGTTTCTGTTTGTGTTAAATAAAGCCTACACTTAGACATGATGGACTTGTGCCTTCATTTAGTTGGAATCTTTGATTGTAGACTCGTGAATAGTGTGGTTTGATGGACTGTCTGTTTGTGTTACTACTATTACCCGCTACTTATTCTAGCTATTGCATCTGCCATTCCTCACCCTGCCTTCACAGTGCATTTTTTCGATTGCTATATTGATGGACGTTCAATTGTTGAAAGTATATTGGTGGGCCTTGGTCCACCATTGGCCAGTTTAGTCTAATAATCTAATAATTACCGCACACTATAGTTGGGGGACATATGCATTATGCTTATGCCTTTTTCTTATTACCAAGATGTGATATAACTTATCAGTGCTACCCTTGATCATTTACTACTCGGAATTTAAGGGGTTGGAGCTTTGAGGTAAAGATCCTAGTCCTCATAAAGTGGGTACGCTATTGGACTTGGGGGCAACTTTATAATCAGCTCAGTTGACGATGCAGCCATTTAGCCAGTACCCGTTTCCCAGCAGTTAGCTTGTGCAAATTGGATTTTGTTAGGATCTTGATGTATCTTTATTTTTTCGAGTATAATATGGAACACGAAGTGAGAGTGTGCCATTCTCATTCAGATATCAATCTGCCCTCCTCCTTATACCTCGGTGGTGGTGGTGGTGGTGGATCTATTGTTCTAACCATGAGGTGGGGTTCAAGGGCGAGGTGGGGTTCAAGGTAGGAAGGGCCTATGCGTAACTTTGGATTGGTGGGTCAGTGCTTGCTTGAGTATTTGATGCTGAAGGAAGCTAGACGTAGGACTATAAATGAATCGAGTTGCTCCAGAATTGCTCAAACTTTCTTGGACTAAATCCCACTAACTTATAAAACAAACCACAAGCATGAGTTCGATTCTAAACTTCATATAATAAATGAGTCATGCTTAAACATTCAGACTTGACTTACCTCAAACGCGATTTTGAACTCAAATTTATGCCTGAATACAAGATTGAATACTATTCATCCAATCAAACAAACCAAGTTGAGCGGAATCTGAATTGGGGAAAAAATATGAACAAGTTGAGCTTGACCAAGAGATTTGAAAATTATTATGATTCCAAGAGTTTTTACAAACCAAAACCAAATAATCACGAATTCTCGTTAATTCGGTTCATCTGCATCCTTAATAACACGTCAATGTCTATCAATTCTTAGGCTCGTGGTATTCAAGCCATTTGTGGAATTTTGGTTTTTTTTTGGTTTGTTCACCGTTAAAAGAAATGAAAAGTTCCTGAAAACTTGTTCACCTCTTCCTACAATTGCACCCTAAAGTCAATATGATTGATAATTAATTGACTTGCTGCACATGAGCACATGGCATGCTGTAGAAATATGTCCCGTCTTTGATAGGTGCAGCTTGAGTTGGGTGAAATTTGGTACACAATTGATTCTAGCGTGAAATGTTGCAGCATAAAACAAATCAAATTATTTGGACCCAGTTAAAAAATCGGATTATTGGAGGCTCAATTGGGTCAATTCATCATATTTTGAATATATTTTTAAGATCATCAATTTTTTGAACTTGAGTTGAACTCAATGCGATAAGCTAATTAACCTTTAAATACCATGTTAAATCAAGCAATTTGAGGTCGACTTTAAAAGAGCTTGTTTATGATGGGTTGTAATACAAATGAGTCTAACTTATAATTTTTTTTTTTTGAAAAAAAAAAAGAATTCTTTAGATGTCAAACTAGGCTTGCATAATTTATTATTCAATTTGATGTGACGTAATAGAATATATATGTGTTTTTATTCTTTGGGGTAAAATATATATATTTGATCCCCAAATTATGTATTTTATGTCAGTTTAGTACCAAATTTTTTAATTGTGCCAATTGTATCTCTCAATTTTTTAATTTATGTCACTTTGATCCAATTGAAAATGACAGTTCAAATTTGCTAACAGAGATCATCACATATATTTTACGTGATCACACATGAGGTATATTCTATGAAAATTTTAGGGACTACCCCAGACATAAACAATTAACTTGAAGGATCAAAATAATACAAGTTATAAATTGAGGAATTAAAAGTGACCCCTTAACTGCGGTGACGTGAATATCTATGTAAGTCAATTTAAACTGCAGTTTTTGATTGAACCAATGTGACATAAATTGATAAGTTGTGCGACTAAATTAACACAATTCAAAGATTGCTATTTGTTAGTGCTTTCTTGTTCTTTGTTCCATTTGTTTTTGGTTGGCATCTCAACCTAAAACCAAAGAAGCCATATGATATTTAAGCATTGTCCTATGAAATTTTTTATCGGATTACAGGTTTACATTTGACTTTGATTGTTTCAACCCTTTTATATATGTGCAAAAACTAACAGCAATCTTTCAATCTTCAATCTCCTACTGGTATATTCAATGGCTGTTGGGAGATCTCAAGAGGCTTCCTCTTCCATATCGCGATATACATATCATGTGTTCTTAAGTTTTAAACATAAAGACACATACAAGACCTTTACCGATCACCTCTATACAGCTTTTGTCCACGCAGGAATTCACACGTTTAGAGATGATGAAGAACTTGAGAGAGGAGAAAATATCAAGTCACAGCTGTTAAAAGCAATCAAAGAATCAAAGATTTCAGTAATTGTCTTCTCGAAAAACTATGCTTCTTCACAACGGCGCCTTGATGAACTTGTCAAAGTCCTCGAATGCAAGAGGACGGTTGACCATGAAGTTTTGCCTGTTTTCTACGATGTGCTGCCACACCAAGTTAAAGAGCAGACAGGATGTTTCGCAGAAGCATTTTCGAAACATGAAAGGCTACTCGATGCAGAGACAGATGAAAGAAAGATTGAATGGATGGAGAAGGTAGAAAGGTGGAGGGCAGCACTTAGAGAAGTTGCTGATTTAGAAGGGATGGTCTTAGAAAATCAAGCTGATGGGTAATTTTCTCAAAAGTCCTTTGCTTTACTTCATTTGATTGAGGACTTTCTTAATCAAGATGTCAATTAACCTTTAACTAAAGAAATTTCTTATTCTTCTGATGATTGGATAAAGTATTATTTTAGGCATACCAACTTTTTCTTTGCATTTGTTAAGTTTCAAAGGATCTTATTACTCAATTCATCTACACGAAAAGTGTGTTAAAATCCTTGTTTGACTTTGTTTCAAGTGCAAATAATTGATATTCTTCATCAGCATAAACAACAGTCTGTTCATGAGTTCTTAATCTCTCTCATCATCTTACAAGGTAGTGAAAAAAATTAAACATCATGAATTACCTATTTATCTTTTGTGATTCACATGAAAATTTTGTATTCACGTCAACTTATAAGATGGATATTGTGCTATGCTTTCCTCACAAATTGTAGGTATGAGTCGACATTTATTCAGGAAATTGTCAAAAAGATTAGGAGTAAACTGGACAGCATGGTCTTGAATGTTGCTCGCTACCCAATTGGAATAGATTTTCGAGTTAAAAGTATAAATTCATGGCTACAGGACCGGTCAACTGATGCTGTTATAGGAGTGATATGTGGAATGGGAGGAATAGGAAAGACGACTATTGCCAAAACTGTTTATAACCTGAACTTTGATAGTTTTGATGGTAGCAGCTTCCTTGCAAATGTCAAAGAAACTATGGAGCAACCCAAAGGTTTGGTTCGTTTACAAAGACAACTTCTTAATGATATTCTGAAGGGAAGAAAGGGAAAAATAAATAATGTTGATGAAGGAATAACTAAGATAAAAAATGTTATAAGCTGTAAAAGAGTTCTTGTCATACTTGATGATGTGGATGAAGTAAAACAAATAGACACAATATTTGGAATACGAAATTGGTTTTACCCTGGAAGTAAAATCATCATAACAACTAGAAACGAGCGATTGTTAAGGGCCCATGAATCATATCAGATTTATAAGATATATGGATTGAATGATGATGAATCGCTCAAGCTCTTCAGTTGGCATGCCTTTGGACAAGACCATCCTATTGAAGGTTTTGTGGAACACTCAAAAAATGTAGTCCGCACTGCGGAGGGATTCCTTTAGCACTTGAAATATTGGGGTCTTCTCTATCTGGCAGCCGAAGTACAGTGGTGTGGGAAAGTGCCATAAAGAAATTAGAAGTGATTCCTAACAATGAAATTCACCACAAGCTTGAGATAAGTTATATGTCATTAGATGATGACTATGACAAGAAATTGTTCCTCCATATTGCATGTTTCTTTGTCGGAAAGAACAAAGATTATGTGGTCAAAATTCTCGATGAATGTGATTGCTACACAATAGTTGGAATTGAAAACCTTGTGAGCAGATGTTTGGTAAAGATAGAAAATGGCAATAAGCTAATGATGCATCAATTGATTCGAGACATGGGGAGAGAAATTATTCGCCAAGAATCACGAGATGATCCTGGGAAGCGTAGTAGACTGTGGCATCATAAGGACTCCTTTTACATTCTGAAAGAAAAAGCTGTAAGCAGGACACTTGCTTTGACTACCTGAGCAAACCAAATCTTCTTTGCAATTTTAAGTCTTGTGCATTCATTCTTGTAACTTAAACCAGTTCACTTTTATTTTCAGGGTACAGAAAGAATTGAAGGCCTCATCCTCAACATGCACATGTTAGAAGATGAGTCTTCCTCAACATTCTTTAATGTTACTAATGCAAAACGTCATCTTGAAGACAGTTTAGGTACATCCTTGCTTCCATACCAGGGGGATACATCAAAACGGCGTCGTCTTGGCTTCTTGTCGTGGCAACCAATGGCCACTGTTTGGACAAAAATTTTTCCAATGCCAAATAAGATAGACTTGGATACTGATGCATTAGCAATGATGCAAAAACTAAGCCTACTCCAGCTCAACTATGTAAAACTCAATGGAGGCTACACAGAATTTCCGAAGAATTTAAGATGGCTGTGTTGGCACGGATTCCATTTGAAGTCTATTCCTAAGAATTTTCCTATAGAAGGCCTCGTTGCTCTTGATCTGAGAGAAAGCAGTTTGGAATACGTTTGGAAAGGAACCAGGGTATGATCAACTTTCCTCATATTTATTTCATAATCTTTTTATTATTTTTTTATGAGATTTTATGACATTTCTTCCTTTTTTCAATCACAGCATCTCGTATCATTGAAATTCCTTAATCTCAGTTATTCTTATCGCCTGACC